CAGCCAAATCTACAATCATGCCCTTCCAACCCCAACAATCTGTCATTTTCAAGCTTCACCCATTGATCCATCCATGTTAGACAAACCGCTTCATAATATAGTCTAAGATTTGGCATTTGTAGACCTCCTCTTTCTTTGGCATCACAAAGTATTTTCATTTTGATCCTTGGTTTCTTGCCTGCCCAAACAAATTTTGACAACTCTTGTTGCCACTTGGCCAACAAATCCGTTTTATGCAGAATTGGTATTGTTTGGAACAGGAACATCAAACGTGGTAGGACATTCATTTTTATAACTGATATTCTTCCCATCAGTGATAAGTTCATTTTATCCCATTTCTTAAAATCTTGAGTCAGCTTAGTCCATAATTTCTCATAATTATTCTTATATAGGTCTATATTTTTTGCCGTTAATTCAATTCCAAGGTATTTTGTTTTTTTAACTACTTCACATTGTACCAGTTCTTGTAGTTCCACTTGTTTTTGTTTGATCATGTTTTTACATATAAGTTTTGTTTTATTCTTATTTACGTAAAAGCCGGCCAATTCTCCAAACTCCTTTATTTTTTGAAAAAGCAATGTCAATTTTTCTGTTGGGTTTTCCACCATAAACATTACATCGTCTGCAAATGCTCGATATTTGTATTGGTGTCCTTTATGTGTCAAGCCCTTTATTTCTTGATCGTACTGTATTTTTTGTAAAAGTATTTCCAATACCCAGATAAATAATAACGGTGATAACGGACAACCTTGCCTTGTTCCTTTCTGTACTTTGAAGTTATCTGTCAGTTCTTTATTCACATTTATTTTAGCTCTTTGTTCAGAATAGATAGCTTCAATACAATTTCTAAAATGTTGTCCCGCTTCAATCTTTTCCATCATCTGGTGCATAAAATTCCAATTAAGATTGTCAAAAGCTTTTTCTGCATCAACAAACAGAAAAGCTACTTCTTTTTCTGGGTGCTTTTCATAATATTCAATTGCGTCCATTACTATTCTTACATTGTCTCTAATCTGCCTTTTGGGTAAAAAGCCCGCTTGATCTTCAGAAATTACCGTTTGTAAATAGTTTTTCACCCTTTCTGCAATAATTTTTGCAAAGATTTTATAATCGTTGTTCAAAAGAGATATTGGCCTGTAGTTCTTTACATTTGTTGAATCTTGTCCTTCCTTTGGAATCAAAGAAATAATTGCTTCTTTCCATGAGTCCGGCACCTTTTTGTTTTCTCTTATTTCGTTGGTTAAAGCTTCCAGGACCGGGGAAATTTCTTCTTTCATCTTTTTGTAGAATTTCGCTGTAAATCCGTCCGGCCCAGGCGCCTTCCCCAACTTTGTCTCTTCTATTGCCTTCATCACTTCTTCTTTTTGAATTGGACCATTTAATAAATCTTTGTATTCCTTACTTATTTTTGGTAGTGGAATCTCCTTTAAATATGTTTTAATCTTCTCAAGATCAACTCTAGTTGTTTGGAATAGTTTAGCATAATACTTGAAGAAACATCTCTTTATTCCATTAGGATCAACGAACTCTTTTCCATCTTCTATTATTTTGGTTATCATTCTTCTCTCTCTTCTAGCCTTAAGTTGCCAAGCTAAGTATTTTCCCGGTTTGTTCGCCCCTTCAAAAGATTTCTGTTGTAACTTCTTTAAATTCCAATACATTTCCTGATTCCAAGTCTCATTCAGTTGTTCCTTCAGCAACTTTAATTCTTTAATAATTTGCTTTTTTCCAGGCTTCTTTTTTAATTCCTTTTCTTTCTGAGCAATTTTTTCTAACACTTCTGTTTGTTTTTGAAGTTTTTCCTTTTTTTGCTTCACGTTTTGCGAGATGAGAATTCCTCTCATCACCGCTTTATAAGCATCCCATACAATCTGTATCGGTGTTTCTTTATTTAAATTTTGTTGAAAGAATTGTTTCGTTTCTTCCTTTAACATCTCAATTACCGTTTTCTTATCCAACAAGTCTTCATTAATCCTCCACAGAAAGGGTTTTTTCCTTTCTGTGGAACTCCATACCACCGGATTGTGATCTGAATTACATCTTGGCAAAATTTCAGTCTTATGTGTTTTCATTGATAATTCTTCAGACATCCAAATCATATCAATTCTGGAAAAAGAGCAATGTCTATTGGAATAAAAAGTAAAGTCTTTCTGCATCGGGTTCCATTTCCTCCAAACATCTTCTAATTTTTCTTGCTTAACTAATTCAAAAAAATTCTTTGGCAATTTTCCGCTGAATTCGTTGTCCTTTTGTGGTTTTCTGTCTAGACGATCTATTGTCCCATTAAAGTCTCCGGCCATAATAACTTGCTCATAAGTCAATTGTTGTAATTGGTCAGTTATATCCTTAAAAAATTTTTCCTTTGCTCCATTGGGTGCGTACACGTTGATCAACAATGTTTTTTTCTGCTGAATCATTAATTCCACACCCACGTATCTGCCATCTATGTCCTTAAAAATTTCTGTAGGTTGTAACTCCTTCTTCACATATGTCACAACTCCTTTTTTCTTGTTTGAGGCCGCAGAACAAAATTCAATTCCAAATAAAGCATTCTTTAAATATTTTATATCCTGTTTTCTAATATGTGTTTCTTGCAAGCATATCACGTTGCATTTCTGTTTCTGTATCCAATGATTGATTCTTTTCCTCTTGTTTGGTGAATTTAATCCATTAACATTCCATGACAACAATTTGTACTCCATTATGCGTTTTATTTTAAAGTTCTCCAAAGACGTCCGCATTGTCCGCCTTAAATTTATAAAAGTCCATCATCGATCTGATCTGAATCCTCCCACCTTGATACGTAAAGGATAAACCTTGTGGAATCTCCCATCTATATCTGATGCTCAAAGCTCTGAGTTTGTCCGCCAAGGATTTATACCTTTTCCTGTCTTGCAGTATTGTTCTTGGGAGTTCTCTCATCACCATAATTTTGTTTCCCTCTATTACAAAAGGGACGTTGAATTGCTTCTTGAATATCTCCTCTGTTATTGATCTTGTTACAAATTGTACAATTACATCCCTTGGTAAATTCTTCTTTTCTGCAATTCTGGAGTTCACTCTATAAATCAAATCAAAGTCTGAGTCCATTGACCCTTCCTCCTCGCCCAGAAAAGCCGTTATCACTTCCATCATTTTTTCTTTTAAGTTCTCATTCTCTGTTTCCTTAATGCCTCTGAATCTCAGATGAGTCTGCATCCTTCTGAACTCCATCATTGTCTCTGATCTTGTAATTTGTTGAGTCAAAGAATCTTGTTTCTCTTCTATTTTTTGTATCTTCTCCTCTGTCTCTGTAGTCTTGGTTGCATTTGCTTGAACATCCTTCTTAACTCCTTCCATTTCTTGCTTGATTGAAGTTATTTCTGTAGTAACCAATTCCTTCAATGCTGTTATGTTCTTCTCTTGGACTTCTTCTAGATGTTTCAGATGAATCTGAGTTTGCTTCTCCAGTTGGTCCCCCAATGTTTTTTCTATCTGCTCCCCCATGGCTTGTATTGCCTCTGTCATTCTCTTCTCCATTGCTTCCATGGAGGCGATGTGTTTAGTCCAACTCTATGATTGAAGATCCTTATATAAACCTGACTTTTATCAATTAGTTTGATTTCTTCAAAAATGGGTGTATCTTTTCCACACACGATTATTAGTCTATGGCCCTCAGAAGCATCTGTTCTCCCTACTGATTGCAAAGTCATCCTTAACCGACCTTTTCGGATTATATATATCTTGCATTGGTTTGCAACATTGTTAGGTGTTAAAAGATAAAACGTTTTCCTAACTAACCCTTCACATCTCCTTGTATCTCTTCCCAATCCCTCCCCGTACAATATCCCTCCCCCCACCCATCTCCCCCCCCTCTGGTTGCGTTCTGGGGGGATGAGCCCATGCTCTTCCCCAAGCCTTAAGGGCTTTCTAACCAGAACCACAACAAACCAACCTATACATTGCCATAAAATAACAGTAAACATATTAAAGGGGTAAAGAACGTTCTGTAGGTGGCTTCCGGTCTAGCTAAGATGGAGGACTGAAGCGTTTCGCACTCGTGCGAAGCGAGCGACGGCCACTTTTGACAGTTTGGGCAATATACAGCCCAACGCATCACTCCCCAGCGAGGGGGGGGGACAAGCAGGCAGCAGCGCCCTAGAGGGAGTGTGAGGTTGGCGTAATCCAGCTTCGGAAGAAGCTGAATTGGGCTTTGACCTCCTCCCACGAAGAAGGCAAGTGCCAAGCAACTCTATAGTGGCCGATCGAGCCGGATTACCGGCATAAATTCTTCGTCAGCCGACCTCTTTGAAGAAGGACAACAACTGTGAGTTAAAAGAAACAATGCGAAACCCGTTTTGAACTCATACATTAACTTAAGATGATCCAAACAAAGTAAGGAAAGCAATCCCAAATGCTTTCATTTACTTAAAATTATTTGGCAGAGAATTTGACACTTTAATGACGGTCTGGGCCTGGCTGGGGCGATGACACGCGTGCCCACAGGGCTCTGAGTGCCACCTCTGGCACCTGTGCCATAGGTTCGCCACCACTGCGCTAGACTGTGGGAGAGCCTTCAATAGAACAGAGATATAAAAGATGGAGTGCGCAGGAAGGGTGTGGTCTGGAAAAAAACCTAAAAGACCTAAGAGCAATCCAAAGTTTAAAAAAAAGGAACAAAAGAAAGCCTGAACAACTGATTGACTCCCTGTATATAACCCTGTCCCCCGGTGTTATTTTAAATAAACTCGTATTTGAGTTTAAAGTGGAGGGTATCATAAACCTCTGTGTCAAAGAGGGCGAACTGGCGGTAGAGAGGGGGAAAGTGTGCTGAGAGCCTCCTGCAGTTACAGGGTGGAAGGGACTTAGCCTTTGGGAAGGAGTTGGTCGCTTGACTCTTGGGGAGACGGGAGGGGGCTCCATGGCTTTCCCTATCCTGTTGTGCCTCAACCAAATGTGCATCAATGGAGACACTCTGTTTCCTTGGTTGACAGGGTCAATGGGAATCTCCAAAAGCGTACGATTCCGTCCTGCCGGGGGTAAGGACTGATCCTTCTCCCCACAACAGAGGGTGCTGTGTCGTTTGCTTGAAGCCGGTTCCCCTTGGGTTGCAGTGTTTTCTGGTGGGACTATCCACTGCAGGCCACCCCTGCAAGGCAGAACAGCTCCAAAAAAAGCACTCAAACCCATCTCCGCCTAAGGAATGAAGGCATCCAGGAGACAGCAGTAGGAAAGGGTTGATGTGCTTTTGGCCTCGTCCAGCATGGCTGTTCTTAGGTAAACACCCCCCCCCCCCGGGAATATCCAGTATTTAAGGAGAGCGCAGCCCCTCAACAGCCACAGTTGAGCTCTGCCCCAGGACCTCTTGAATCTCCACATTTCAGGCCCAAAAGGCCTCCCTCCCTCCTTACCTAGCAGGCTGGATCATTCCACCAAGCCAAACGTTGCCCGGAAGGGAAGAGGAAAGGTCCCCCTGCTATCCCTGGCCCAGTCCCTTGACCTAACCATGAAGGATACTCACTAGCAGGCAGCTCATTTGGGAAAGAAAGAGTCTCTTGAGATCTCCCTGAGAAACTCTCCAGCCATTCTTCGGACACAAGGCCTTCTTTGCTCTCCACCGTTGTCTCTCTTACATTCCTGGCTTCTTTGGCAGAGAGACAGAAAGTGATCATTCTTATACGGGGAAGGAAAGAAATCCAAGGAAGAGGGAAAATTTGCCTGGTTAAAATCGAAGCCCCAAATTTCAACCAGAATAAAGGAGATGGATCCTTTCCTGATCACAGCCCGAGTGGATGACTGTAATCCCATCTGGGGCAAAGGCATGTGGTCGAGGAGAGACACCGAGAAATCAGAGTCAGGCCCCTTCCAGAGGCCAGGGCACCCTCTCTGGCTTGGGTGAGGGCCACAGCACTGGCCCCAGGGGGCTGGGGTCACTCTCTCCAGCCATGCTGACCTTTGCTTTCACTGCCACCCCAAGTCCTGGAGGCCCCAAGTGGGGGGCAAATAGCTGTGCAGGCCTCACAGCCACACTCTGCTTTTCAATATTTTGATTCATGAATCACCCCAAGGACAGCAATTGGCACCTATGGAAGGTCCTTACCCAGAGAGGCCACATTCTCATAGTTCTCCCGCATGACTTCCCTATAGAGACTTTTCTGGCCCGGATCCAGCAGGGCCCACTCAGCCTCGGTGAAATACACGGCCACCTCCTCAAAGGAAAAGGGAGACTGAAAGAAAAAGCAGATTCCCTCGTCACAAATCATGCCAGGCAGAGACGACACTCAAGTCTGCACAGACAGGGGGATTGTGGGGGGGGGGGGGTGCAGGTATGTGCAAAGGGAGTTGCACTCAGAGCCTCTCTTGCTCGGACAGCTGGAGCAAAGGCGTCCCTGAGAAAGGAGTGGTGCCCGACTGTCCCCCATGTATCCCCTGAAATACCTGGACCAGAGGGGGAGCAGACATTTGTGCTGCACTGGAAGGATGACGGCTTGACAAAATCTCTTCATGGCCTGCAAGAGAGACAAAATTGGAAGGGTGAATTCTAGCCTCAACTTTGTATTTTGTTAAATTTGTAGTGATTTTCAATAACCTGTGGAAGAGGTGGAAGACGAGCCCCAGCTACCCATGAGAGTTGGGGGGGGGTTAGAAATGCCCGTTTCAAACTTCTCTTGAGACTTGGAATGTGCCTTGTCAACTCTGGAGCTCAAAAGGCTACAGCATCCTTCCTGGATGAGACCAAAACCCCAGGCAAGCCAATCTACTGCTGGCTGGGCCCTCCCACGAGCCCTTGAGTCTGCACTGTAAGGAAGAAACGGGGCCCAGAAATCACGTTGAATGACTTGTCATCACAACATCCAGCCCCAAACCCGGATGTGATTTTAGCACATCAGCTGATGTTCTGTACTACCAATGGGGTTTCAGGGCGACTGCTGATGCTCTGACTTCACATCCAGGTATTTGGCCGGACAGGATATCAACAGGGCATGACGCCCACCCCATGCTCTGCCCTCAGACCTCATGGGGCGGCCAGGCCATGGCCTGTCATCCCTAGTCCAGTATCCTCGTTCTGACTCTGGCCTGTCAAAAGCCCCTGGAAAGCTTTTACTGGCCTTTGGCAACTGGTGTCCAGAGGTATACTGCCCCAGAACATGTGTGCCATCAGGTCACAACTGACTTATGGGGACCCCACAGTTATTGAAGGCAAAAGACGTTCGGGGGTGGTATGCCATTGCCTGCCTCTGCACAGCAACCCCGGTCATCTTTGGTGGCCTCCCATCCAAGTACAAACCAGGGCTGACTCTGCTTATCTTCTGAGACCTAATGGGATTGGGCTAGCCAGGGCCATCCAACTCAGGGGAACATGAGCTTCCATTTTTTCATCACCATGGCTAATAGCTGCACTGACATTTGTCTTCCTTTCTTTTTTTCAGCCGCCTTGAGTCCCTCTAACACAGGGGTATCAAACATGCAGCCTCTCCTGTGTGATTGAGAGACTCTGATAAAGCACAGGCTGAGGCTCCTCCACCTCCTCCTCCCAAGGGGAGGGAGGGAACCAGCCAGAGCTCGCTTCCTGGCCAGGCTGCTTCAATCGTATACAGGAGACAAAGGAAAGCCTTTCTTTCCTTCCGCTGGCTGGGGCTTCTCCCTGAAGGGAGGGAGGGAACGAGGTAGAGCTTGCTTTGCTGACCTGCCTCAATAGTACGAGAGAAATAACAGGCACCTTTAAGATCAACAAAGTTTGTTCAAGGTATGAGCTTTTGTGTGTCATGCTACAATGTGTGAGTATTCTGTTGGGCTCCTTATGCTGTGTGTGTTTTGTTGGGCTCCTTATGCCAGGGCTCTCCTGGGTGTAACTGGGTTCCTTCCCCCTTTTCACTGTATTGATGCCCTCATGATCCAGTCTTTCTCAGTAAGAAAGCAATCTGAACTATTTTAGAGGAGGAATAAAAACTAGCCAGTGAGGTGGATTAGGCTGAGAGGGTGTGTCCAGACCAAGTTCACCCAGCACATTTCCTTTGTAGGAAGCTGTAGTTATTTCTCTGGGGGAAACTATAGTTTTGTAGACGCACAGCCCTCAGTCTGTGTCAGGATGCCTTCTCATGTTTTTGACCAGCACACGAAGCAACTTATTTACAAAAGCTTGCAATGCCCAGCCATTTCATGTTTTCCCCTAAATTCTAGGCTCAAAACACTGAGCATATGGTTTTTGTAATGAATGTCTATAAATCGAAAGTAGGTTTGCAGCTTACAGATAAACACCTGAACAGCATACTCAAAATTGCTACAGCAGACATTTTGATGCAATATTTCAGAGCAAGAGGTGTCAGTTATCAGAGACTGTTAAACAAAATATTGCAAGAGTGCTAGTGTTTTAAGCATGTTGTATTGTCACACTCTCCCTTGGACTTCGGTGCGGCGCCCCCAGTGGCCATGGTGTCGGGGGTCTCGAGCAGACTCCGGCAGGGGAGACGGCCCTGGGAGTGGCAGTATCCAAAAAGGGAGAGGGAGTGAGGGGCCTCAGATAGGCAGGGGACAGGGTTAATGTCACCCTGAGAGTCCCTCTGCCAGTGCACTGCAGACTTTCTTCCTCTCTCTCTGCCGTCTTTCCGTCTCTCTCATCAGCATCCCACTTCATTCCACAGCGCACTCCTCCTCCCCGGCCTTCTCCACCCTGCCTTTTATCTCCCCGCCCCGCTCCCAGGACCTCCCATCCACCCCCTGGCTTCAGCCATGCCCTACTTTATCTATCTGGATGCCAGCGGGGCGTCTCTGGAGTGAATGCTGATACGCCAGCAGTGGCTCTGGCGGCCTCTGGGCTGCGCCGCTGCCAATCTGCGGCGGCCCTCGCTGCTCCGCGTCCGTTCCTGGCCCGTCGGACAAGCAGCCACCGCCCCTCTCCTCTTTCGTGGGTCCCCGCTCCCGACTTACTCCCCGGACCGTCGAACTTTGTCCCGTCTGGTGAGTCATGCCTAGGATGTCTTGTGGGGTTTGTCGGGGTCCCCGGGGCCCGTTCTGCATGTCCCACGACCTCTGGAGTGGGACAGTATTTAAAGTTTTTAAAATATTTGTGTTTCCCAGTGTCCTTTATAAAGTTTATATCTTCGCTACCTGGCATTACATTTTATGACACACATGGCCCGGCCCAACAAGGTCACATTTATGTCAGATCCAGGCCTCATAACAAATGAGTTTGCCACCCCTGCTCTAATGGAAGGAAAGTCAGATACAAATATTTTAATTCATGTAAATAGAAATGTAACGGCCTTCCATGAATCTGTCTACTCTCCTTTCAAGTGAGTGGCCATCACTACATCCTGGGGCCCTAAGTCCCAGACGTTCCCTCCATGTAGAGAGCAGAAGTATTTCCTTTTTCTTCTGTCCCAAACCTTCCACCCAATGACTTGACTAGGTGCCCTGATCCCATCTGGGCAGGAGGCACCTTTTCCACTTGACAGGGCATCTTGGGCAGGCTTCTGGGCTTGTGCCCTCGGACTTTCCTCTGACAGAGCTCCTTCTGCCTCAGAGAGCTTCGCTTCCATCTTTACAGCTGGTCCCCACATCTGAAACAACAGTAAGGGAGACAAGTAAGAGAAAAAAGGGAAGAGGCTGAGGAGACGGATCCTGCTGCCCCACTCCCAGACTCCTCATCCCTCCATCGACCAGCAGAGCTGGTTCAGCCACAGGGCCAAGAATGAGGGCTGGGTTTTCTTCCCAGCCCTGTGAATTCTCTAAGGGGAGAAATACCTGGCAGGGAGGCCTTAGGATAAGGTCCTTGCTGGAACTGAGCGAAGGACACCCCCTCACCTGCTCTGCCTGCCTCTTCTCCTCGGCCTGACTCAGGAGGAAACCTTCGGCCAGGGCCACCGCCTGGGAACTGCTCTCCGGCTCGCATCCCCTCACCCAGCCCTGCATCTCCTGGGGCAGGATGGCCAGGAACTGCTCCAGGATCACCAGGTCCAGGATCTGCTTCTTGGTGCGCCTCTCGGGCTCCAGCCAGTGGCTGCAAAGTCCGTGGAGCTGGCGGGAAACCTCTCGGGGTCCATCAGCCTCATCGTAGCGGAACTGCCGGAAGCGTCGGTTGTGAACATCTGCCGTCACCGTGTCCTGAGAGAGGCTCTCTGGCCCAGCTCTCTCCCAGTATTCAACACCACTCCCAGCCTGTGTGGGATGGGGACTTTTCCTTGATCTCTTGCCTATTCCAGGTCCTTCTGGGTCCTCCTCATCCATCTCCTTCCCCTTGTCTTGGGTCACCTCCAACTGTGGAAAGATACTCGTACTCTCGTGGCTACAAAGAGGAAGAGGAAAGGAAATAAAAAATCACCGACCCTGGTCATGAGGCAGGTGGATCAAGTGGAGCGTCATTGTTGCAGTCTGTTTGGATCAGGATGAGTGTCATTCTGCTCTATGATGTATCAAGCTGTGTTAGATATGCCTGTTTAGTTCATCAGGAAAGCAAACTGTCTCTATTTGGCTCTTTAAAAGTCTGTTGCGGATTATATCATCTTGGCTTTAGATGAACAGGGAATCAGCCTGTCCCAGGAGTCACTTGTCTATGTAACCTGGGACCCCGGATAAAGCGACTATTAGCGGCTTCTGTGTTGGAAACGTTAGGCAACAGCTCTGTCCAAGCAACCAGCAGAGGGGATGGGCCAGGGGTTGTCCAGCCTCTCTGGGTCAGGGCAGAAGGGGATGCCTGGATGAACGGGGGGGGGGCAGTGAACCCCCAGGGGAAGGTCAAATGGGGGGGGGGACCCTGGCTCAAATGCCTGGCATGTCAAGGAGCCGATTGGCATGACGGATTCCTCCCCTCCTGATCAGGTACGGGAATCCTTTCAGGGCCTCCCTAAGATTTCAGTGGCTGTGAATTTATTTTTATTTACAAAGTTCAGATCTCGCCTCTCTGTCTCCCACCCAGGGCCACTCAGGCAGCTAATAATAAATTAAAACAGACCTCAGAAAAGCACATTATGAAAGTATTTAAGAAACCTGGGAGTAACTGACTGAGATCCTCCATTAAGCTTGAGAGGAGACCGATGGAGCGTCTGTTTCAGACCAGTCCGGCTCCCCACCCGAATCTATACACGAGAGTCAACGTTCATCTTTCCCATGGTTTAAGAGCTTATCTCCGCCATGATCAGGGCAGAAGGGGATGCCTGGATGAACGGGGGGGGGGCAGTGAACCCCCAGGGGAAGGTCAAATGGGGGGGGGGACCCTGGCTCAAATGCCTGGCATGTCAAGGAGCCGATTGGCATGACGGATTCCTCCCCTCCTGATCAGGTACGGGAATCCTTTCAGGGCCTCCCTAAGATTTCAGTGGCTGTGAATTTATTTTTATTTACAAAGTTCAGATCTCGCCTCTCTGTCTCCCACCCAGGGCCACTCAGGCAGCTAATAATAAATTAAAACAGACCTCAGAAAAGCACATTATGAAAGTATTTAAGAAACCTGGGAGTAACTGACTGAGATCCTCCATTAAGCTTGAGAGGAGACCGATGGAGCGTCTGTTTCAGACCAGTCCGGCTCCCCACCCGAATCTATACACGAGAGTCAACGTTCCTCTTTCCCATGGTTTAAGAGCTTATCCCCCCCCCCCCCCCAATATTGTCTTACTTGTGAGTAAATCTTCCTAGGATCCGACTGGACGGCTTTTTCCTGCTGCTACCTCCCTGAAGCCCCGCAGGTTCTCTTTGGCGATAAAGAAGCAAACCCCCCTCCCTCCTCCACACCCCTCTGAACACACCCCGGAAAATAACCTTTCCACTCTCCCCCCCCCCTTTCCTTAGCCTCTCTAGCAAGCAGCTCTGTTGGTTTAACTCTTTCAGACTTGGACAGGGCGGACTTCAGGCAGCCTGCAGTCCCTGACTCCCTGGGGAGCTCCGTGGGGCTGCTCGGGAGTAACTCTGCACTGGGCTGTGCTCACAGGATATCCAGTGCTGTTCAGCCAGCTCAGAAAATGGGATAGTTGAACCGAAAAAAGAAAGAAACTGCGGGTTTTTTAAATTTAACACCTAGGGAACCAGCCTCCAGGTGAGACCTGAGGATCCCCTGGAATTACATCTTATCCACAGACTACAGGGATCAGTTCCCCTTCTGGGGGACGGATTTGTTAGTCTCCAGGCAGGAAACTGACACACACACCCTCTTAACCCCCTCCCCATCTGCAAAGGCAGAAGCTGTATATCAGACAGTGAGCTTTCTAAATACTGATGTTCTCTCTTTTCTACTTTCAGACACATTGTATTGAAAGGAGTGGGGGGGGGGGAATTAGACATGTTCTTCATTTGGCAATGCCTGCGCAGGTTCCCAGTTGACTTCTAAGCCCAATCGATAGCGCTGTTCTTTGAGGTGCTGAGAGTTCGCTGAGGTGATGGAAACAAACTTCTCCAGTTCCTGTCTTCTCTTTGTTCAATGCTGCCTGGTGAACTTGGAGTTTCTGCAATCAATATCATAGGTTTGATCATCTAAAGCCCTACTTTGGGATAGTTCAAGCTCCTGTCATGAATGTCCCGCTAAAGTGGTCAGCCTATGAAGCCCTGAACCGTGGGGCCACATCACCCTCAGAATTGATGAAGGCAGTTCTGGTAACTTGTAGTGGAGGAGAGTTCTGTGGACATTGCCTGGGGCGAAAGAAAAGCCTGTTCTCCTGCCCTAAGACTAGAGGGTCCCAGTCCCCCCTTCCAGTGACCCTTCGGTGTCTGTGTATGTGTGTGCACAATATGCTCGCTATATACAAAGCATGGGATCCGAAGCGTGTGACATTTCCTGAATGCAGCAGATCTCTGACTCCCCCCCCCCCTCATACTGGTCTGGGGGTTGGTCCTTGTTCCGCAGGAGGAGTAGGTTTTCAGGGGCACTTTGTGCAGCAACAGTAGGGAGCCAGGGCTGCCCAGAGCCACCAGGGGGCCTCCAGACAAAGATTCCGTCTTGCCCTCTCCCATATGACCCTGATCCAAACTAAATATACCAAAACAAATCACTTGCTGTTACCATGAAACTATAGTAATAAAAGTATCAGCCTGTCTGTCTAAACTGTCCATTTATGGCAAGCATAGCTCATCAGAGAATAAAGCTAGGAGGCTCAAAATTGGCCATCAGCTTCAGAGTGATTATGGGAGTCCCAGGGCTAAAACTGAAAGTTGTGGGAATATCCGGGCTAAGGTGAGATGCACACACCCCACACACCAAGCTATTTATTTATTTATTTATTCGTACTTATACCCCGCCCTCCCCAGTGGGCTCAGGGCGGCTTACAGAGGCAAGAACAACTTGCCATGGTAAAACAATATATACATAACAATTTAAAACATATGCTACATATTAAAATCTAATAACAAAGTGCTCAGTGCCATTCATAATCTAAAGATGGCGGATCGAATGTCCAAAGTCCCACGAAGACGGCAGAAGGATTCTTCCATTGTAGGTATTTAATCGGGACCTCAGGGCTGTGGTGGTATAGTAGGGGGGGCGGCTCCTACTCGAAAGCCTGGCAGAAGAGCTCCATCTTGCAGGCCCTGCGGAACTGCATAAGATCCTGCAGGGCCCTGATCTCCTCCGGGAGCTCATTCCACCAGGTAGGAGCCGCCACCGAAAAGGCCCTGGTCCTCGTGGCGGCTAGTTTGACATCCTTAGGGCCCGGGATGACTAATAAATTTCGGGCCCCTGACCATAGTGCTCTTGGGGGAAAATACGGGGAAAGGCGGTCCTTCAGGTAGGTTGGACCCTGGCCATGTAGGGCTTTATAGGTAACGACCAGCACTTTGAAGCGAATCCGGTACGCTATTGGCAACCAGTGCAGCGCTTTCAGTGCAGGCCGCACATGGTCCCTTCTGGAGACACCCATTAACAGCCTGGCCGCAGCATTCTGCACCAGTTGCAGCCTCCGGATTTGCGACAGAGGCAGCTCCATGTAGAGAGCGTTGCAGTAGTCTAACCTTGAGGTGGCCGTTGCGTGGA